CGCCGCTCCGCCCCGCCGAGGCCTCTCGGCCGGCAGGGGGGCCGCGCGCGGCTCCTGAGGCCTCCGGCTGCCCTCGGGTTCCCGCGCCGCCCGACCCAGACTGCTGAGCCGCGCGCGACCCCATTTCCCTGCCCGACCCTCCGCATCGGACGCTGGCTTCTCCCTGGAAGTCCAGCCGGTCTTGGGTCTTGTGTCCGTGCTTTGAAGCCTTCACAGAACTCGTTAGTCGAGGTGTAATGGGAATAGTTAGGCGAACTGCGTTTCCTTTCCTCGTCCCCCTCCTGGCCTGCGGCGCCCGCGACTCGCGCGAGTGCAACGGGAGGACCCCGGCTGCGGAGCGCACAGCGTCCAGCGCCCTCTCCTGGCTCCTCCGTTGCCCTGCGCGAGCCGTTGCTCCTCGGTCTCTGGCCCGGAGAGACGCGACGCAAAGGGCCCGATAAACATCACGGGGCTGTTACGGGGACATGGGAAACATCTCCCATTTTTTATTGAAAAGCTCGGAAATGCCAACGCTTAGCTCAAGGCCTCGGAGCGTGCGTTTGGTCTGAGTGCTGAGGAGGAGGTGGTGGTGACATTTGTCTGGGATAGGATCGGGAAGGTGACGGACCGGGCCGCAGGGAGAGGCGAAGGTGGGTGGAGAAGGTAGAAGAGGACAGTGAGTTCTCCGGGGCAAGAAATAGGCGTGGACAAGGCTGGGAAAGGAACACGGAGAACTCTTGGGGAATGGAAGGGGAGGGGACTGTGGAAGCAGCATTACGAGGATTGGGGGAAAGTGGTGATGGGGTAAAAGGGTCAGGCTAGGGGAGGGGAGAACGAGATGGACAAAGACAGGGGTAATGAAGGGAGACCGAGGAGAGTGGGGAGTGATGGCCCCCACGCGTGCTGAGGCGCGGAGGAGGGTGTGAAACCCAGCTTGACACCGTCCTTTTTCTTCTGCCTGTCCTAGGATGTGAAGAAGACATGGAGGCGGTGAGTCCCACACTTACTGTTTCTTCCTGGCTCCTTACCCAACTGGGCCCAAATCTTTGTTCCCACCGACAGGCAGTTCGGGGAGTGTTGGCCTCACCTCTTTCTGCTCCAGAGAACCCAGTGGGTTAGGAGTGGGGGGGAGTAGAATCGGTCTTAGAAGGCAGAAGGCTCTCTAGTGACCTCCTGACCCTCCCTCGTCTGTCCAGGTTTGATGTCCCCATGCCCAAGCCATCTAACTCAGAGGAAGAGCTCCCTGAAGATTACCCAGTGGTCAAAAACATGCTTCACAGACTGACAGGTATGAGGGAAGAGCAGCAGGAACACCCCAGCGTCGGTGCTCTCTTTTAGTACCTGAAAATGTACACCCTGGCATGATGTGGTGATGCATACCCTGAAATCCCAGCACTCTGGGAAGCTGAGGCAAGAGCACTGCAAGTTTGAGCCAGCCTTGGGGACTTAGTGACTGAGACCCTGTCTCAAATTAAAGACAAATTTTTAAAAAGCCTACAATTTACCTCAGTGCAAAGGCCTTGGGCTTAATCCCTAATTGAATAAATCAATCAATCTAAAAATTTACAAATGTATATCCTTTTGAGTTCTGTTTCCTGGAACTGCTGTATCACAGTACCATAATCCAGACAGTTTAGCAGACATTATTGTCCCACATTTCTAGGGGTAAAACTCTGAAATGAAGGATCATCAGTAGATTGGCTTCTAGGCAGCTGAGGGCTGCCTCTGTAGGCCTCAGCAATTCCTTGGTTAAAACAAAACCCACTGTCTTCATTCTATGTGCATTTGCCTCTGCTCTCAAATTTCTTCTTATAGGGCAACAGTCATACTGGATTAGAGCCCACCCTCATTTAAAATTTGTCTGCATAGGCAGGGTGTGGTGGAACACATCTGTGATCCCAGCACTCAGGAGGCTGAGGCAGGAGGATCAACAGAAGTTTGAGGCCAGCCTGGGCTACATAGTGAGTTTAAGGTCAGCCTGAACTATATGACTGGAGATCCTATCTCACAAACACAAAACAAAGTTTATCTCTATAAAGACCCTCTTTCCAAATAAGGTCAATTTTAAGATACTAAGGCACTCCACCAGATCTGTTGGGGGCGTTTTTCAACCTAAAACCATGTCTCCCCTCACCCATTTCCCACAGTGCAACCATCTCCCCTCCTTTGTCACACACACACACACACACACACTGCACCACTGGTGGCCACCTGCCTCAGGACCTTTTGCTTTCACCTGGAGTCTCTGCCTTCAGGAGGCTGTCAGAACGCCTGCCTGCTTCCAGGGCTGCTCGCTGTCACCCTTTCAAGTGCACAGGAGAGACTCCCGGCCCCCAGTCCACACTGCTTCTAGAACTGGGTTGGACCCCCTACATGGAGGCCAGCCTGTTCTTTCTGCTCAGTCCCTCTGGCTCCATCCCTCTGCTGCGCTGACTACCACCATCGTGTGGGAGTGGGCTGGTTTTGCAGGATACTTTGGATTCCTCTCTGTCCCTCCCTGCTGTCACCCAGCAGGTGTGAGCCTTTCTCTGAATCCACTTTCCTGTACTGCTGACCCGACTCCCGTCCAGCCCAGAAGCTGCCCATTATCCTCCTTCCTCCCGGAGCAGGCCAGCTCAGCCTCCTTCCTCTTCCGGGCTCCAGTCGGCCCTGGGCCTGCACGTCCTCCCTGGGAGCACTTAGGCCCTGTGCTTTCGCCCCGATCTCCGTGCTGTCCCCACTCTTCTCGGGAACTTCCCTCACGGTCCTCTCCCTGCCTCCCCAGCCGATGTGACGCTGGACCCTGGCACTGCGCACCGCCGCCTGCTCGTCTCCGCTGACCGCCGGGGCGTCTGCCTGGCTCCACCCGGGACGCCCGCACCCCCAGATGGCCCCTCGCGCTTTGATCAGCTCCCGGCAGTGCTGGGCACCCAGGGCTTTGGCGCCGGCCGCCACTGCTGGGAGGTGGAGACGGCGGAGGAGGAGGCCGGCTCCTGCAGAGACCCCTCAGCCGAGGATGTGGGAGGCATGGAGAGCCGCTACGCCGTGGGCGTGGCTGGGGAATCGGTGCCGCACAAGGGCCGCATCCCGCTGTGCCCCGCCGAGGCTGTCTGGGCGCTGGAGGGCCGCGGGGGCCGCCTCTGGGCACTCACGGCCCCGGAGCCCACCCCACTGGACAGCGCCGGGCCCGCGCCGCGCCGCATCCGCGTGGACCTGGACTGCGAGCGCGGCCGCGTGGCCTTCTACGACGGCCGCTCGCTGGACCTGCTCTTCGCCTTCCAGGCGCCTGGGCCTCTGGGCCAGCGTGTCTTCCCGCTGCTCTGCACCTGCGACCCCCGCACTCCGCTGCGACTTGTGCCCGGAGAAGGCTGAAAGCCCCGACCCCACGCCCCACTTCCTCTTGTGTGTGTAAACCCTGCTGATTGTGGGACCGCAAGGGCCTGAGTTCAATCCCCGGTCCCGCCCCCCAACAACAAAATTCATCGGGGGACCGCAGCGCAGTACCACAGCGAGGGTGTTAAGCCCCAAGCCCATGCGCAACAACGGGACCTCTGCTGGCCTCAGGGTTCCCACCTCCAGGTCCAATGCCCTCCTCAAACTTCCCTCTGTGAAGACTCTGGTCACACCACAGCTACCCCGACACTTCTGGACTGAGTGCACCCCTCCCATGCCATTACAAACTTGAATGAGGCCCAAGCTCCGCCCCATTAGCTTTGGGAAAGGCCAGGGCTTAGGGCTGAGGTCCCGCTGCTCCTAGCTTCGCAGGCTTCCTAGTCCAAACCACCAGCTGCTTTTCACATGAGAAACAAGTTTGCTGCTTCACAGCAGTCAGGCTCAGGTTGCTGCGGTTCGATCCGCATAACTCAAGCCAGCCAAACCTGCCCTGAAGGCATTCGGAGCAAA